CTGCAATTGTGGGTAGGTGTCATGCCCAATGGCACGCACAACTCTTGATTCTCGATGCTGGCAAGCTCAACAAAGCAACACTCGCATGCATAGCTGTTAACCCATCCTCCTTTCGAGCCTCTGCATGTAAGGAAGTGCAAGCGAAGCAAAATCTCCTTGCATGAGCTTGACTCGCTTGGTACTAGCATAAGCTGTTGCAGGAATTCTATCCGCCTACTTACATGGGCTCAGGAAACAGGCTTCCATGTGATGACATAGTCTAATGCTAAGGTATGGTCACTAGAGTCACCCACCATGGGCGGTGTATGAGCTTTGCATACCGGTTACTGCTGAGCTTTGCGCTCTGCCTACCCAGGACGGGAATCACGCCTACCTGGCCGGTCCCCGAGACAAGGATCTGCCTCTACACTTCACTGTCGCCCCGTGGTGCTTTACTCCCAGCGCATCGGCCGGTCTGACAGGTACGTTACTCTGAGAGCGTCTTGACCCAGTATTGGACAATTGTGATCGACTGTGCGTCCGAGCACTCTCGCTTCCAAGCCCAGGTGCTATGGCCAGGACGGCAGCAAAGCCACATTCGACGAAGGTCCAACCTGGACGGTTTCGACAAAGCGAACAGCCAGAACAGGAGACCACCGAATGGAATTAACCGCCTTGGGCTATCCGAACTAGCAGCATTTCAGCCCAATTCAGGCATCACTGCCAGCTCAAGCTTCTATTTCTTGTGTCGCCGCTGGAAGAAGACTCAGAAACTTGCAAGCGAGGAATGGTGTTGATGGCTGCCCATGCGGGTTCAAAGCACAACAACAAGAGAAAACAGCAACATTAGCCGCGCGGTCCAGCCAAACAGTTGAATCTGCAACTGCCGGGTGACCCTCCCAAGTCTCGTATTCGGGGTCCGTCTGAAAGCCGATCCTTGAACACTTGCATTTGCCAAGCACAGTTCTTAGGACTGCTCGAGATAATGCATCATATCGTTGCACGAATCCCCGCAGCACTCGCGCATGCTGTTGTGGTACCGTAAGGCTTTGAACCGTCTTCGGAAGCTACGACTGCATGGTGGTGCCTGGTCCATCAGGACGAAAGCAAAGGATGCCATTGAAAACATATACTCATGCAGAAGGAACCAAGGCAGCAACAGCTTGCTGTGATCCATTGTGACTTTTGTTGTTGCATTGGTGCTGGCTGTGGTCGCCTGCCAAACGGCTAGGAATTACCAGTGCAAGTCCAGCGTCATGATGCCATTGGCGACAATTAGGACGGCCACAAGCGGCTCCACATACCTGACTCAAGTTGATGACCAGTGACCGCGTAGACACAACAAGCTGCGAAATGAACCAAATCAGACTTCATGGCTCTGCTCCTCCTCATGCCCTTCAAAACGTTCTCAAAGCAAATACCAAATCGGAGCCCTGGCCAAACTTGCCGTGCTACATTAACGGATGTAACGGCTCTGGCGGCGCTGCCAAGTCGTTTATGCGAACCTTGGCCAGCTGCTCCAGTAAAGCTTGCGTTGCGGGAAGTGTCAGCTTCTTCTGTGAGGTCAAACCCGGTTTGCCACTCCACTCGCATAAATCCCACAGTTTCGTGACAGCACAGCGCTGGTCAAAGTTCACGGCCATGGAGTGATGCTGCTTTTAACATCCCTATGGTGCCAGTTCGAAATGGACGTAAAGCTAGGTTGGGTGTTTGTTTGTCTTTGTTGTACTTTGTTGTTTTTCGGGGGTCCTGGGCATTCTGTGGACCAAAGTGTGAGGATGCTCCACGCGAGATCTCAATCTTGAGCCGACAATTCTCTACGCGGGAGCCCAATTCTGAGCCGACATGTGAAGATGATTTGAGGACGTTTTACTGGGAATTCAATTTGGCGTCGACATGTGCAAAAGTTCCACACGAGAGAGCGCAATCTGCTAAGATACTCCTGCATGAACTCAATACCTGATAGTGATAATTGGAACAGAAATGCGAATAGATAAGTAATGATAAGTACTTGTTGTCATAGAAATCAAAGTAATTACTAGAGTAATGATAAAATGAGAAGACGCGTGATTATGGATGATGGGAATAATTGTAAGCAGCTACAAACGAATAGCAATAGTGCTCCCGTGACCCGAAATGCTAGTGTGCTTTGCATTCGCACTATTATGCAGAGAGCTGTTTACTGGTATCAATCATAATAATCTGCATAATTCTCCCTTACCCTCCCTTGGGCAAGCATTGCGATGGCATGAACTTTTACCATAACCATGGATGGTTTTAAGAAAGCAGGGGGGGGGCACCCTCCATGCTCGGCAAGCATGGGGTTGGGGCGGGGCGCACACGCCCGGTTTGCCAACAACATGATCATAACGATTCCGTTGGTCTGCCGAAGCTTCCTCAGTCAGCGGCAAAGATGCTTGTGCTTACGTCCTTCGCAAGGTCAGCACCCCCTTGGGGTATACTTCCTGCATGTTTGTTTTCCCAAAGCGCCTCCGCCATAAAGACCATCTGACTCAGAACGGCCTCATTGCGCTGCTGCTCACCCGGCCTCGGCCAGCCGAAGCTTGCTTGAAGATTGTCCGTTGATGTGACCCTTTTGGCAGGTCTTTCTCGCAAGCGCAGAAAACAAGCTGGTGGTTTGTCTGAAAAGTGCCGCGGCATAGACATTTATTGCTGTCCACCTTTGTCCTGCGACTCCAGTTTACCAGCAGCGCTGGGGATCAAACTGCCCCATAAACGATACCAAGAGCAGCTGGTCGATTGGTGTATGCTGGAATCTAGAAGAGAGCTAGCAAAGACCGCTGCTGGTCAGCTGAGCTTTATTAATCGCAGTTCCCGGAGAGGCCTGCTTGCGTGCTGAAATCTTCCCATGCGTCCATCGTAGCGACGAAAATTTGGGGCTATTGGAACTCCATGCGCCGTCATCCATGTAGATGTTGTGCTGTGCCGCTTGTGCTGCGTGAGGAGCTACTTGAAACTTGTCGAACTGACTGTAGACCTGGGTACATCGCCACTTTCCGCGCCAGGGGGAGAGCGTATCCTCTGCACATAGCAATCTGTTTTGGCGTATCCACTGGCTAGCCAAGATGTCAGTGACAGGCTCCGGGAGGCCTGACTGGCCCATGGCCTCTGTGATGATCGTAGCGCTGATGTGGTCGAAGGCAAGGGTGTGCTCCAGCGTAGCTGGAAAACCCTGCTCGTCTAAGCTGTCTAAGAATCTTGATGCGATCTCTTCGGTGCCTGCGGATCCGGGCCCGCCTAACACCTCAGCAGGGATGCTGGCGGCACGCCGCTCTTACAGTAGCTGCTGGCCGTTGGCTCACGTAGCTGCCCAATATCTGTACCAGATGCTATAGATGCTGATCGGCCTGACGCTTTTTATGCCGTTGTTCAAAATTTTGCTGTGCTTCGGGATATGAGCTTGTCTATACCACTTGAGGGCGTTGGGGGAAGTGCCCGCTGCTTCCCATTGCTGTGCCAGGGCTGCAAGGGGGAGCGACGTAACCTCGTCAATTGTACAACCGTCGGGGCCGGCAGCCCTCCGTAGCTTGCTATGCGCTTGCCGGACATCCTCTGTGGTTGGTCTGCTTTGCAACCGTCAAGTGAGGATGTTCTGGATGAAGGTTGTGGAGGAAACCTCTGGTTTTTGGCTGTGGGGTTGCAAGGGCTTCTGCTTCATTGAGCTTGTCCACCATTGGCGCGTGTGCTGCAGGATGCTTTGATCCGTAGTGAGGGCTTGATACCCTGTGATGATTTGAATCATGGGCTGATTGGGGTTGCTCTTGATCCAAGTGCGCTTGCGTTGGCCTTCTTGCCTTATTTTGCTGTTCCAATCTTGGATGGCCTGTTTCCTCTCCTCTTGCTGCTGCTGCTGCTCTACGAATTGTTGATGCTGGCTGTCGATTCTGGCTTGCAGATGGCTGCGGAAGTCGTCGTTGTGGCATTGGTTTGAGGTGCTTGCAGAGAACTAACGCCTTGCGCCATAGCTTTGGTTCTTGATGAATAAGGGCCTCGGTGATCTCAAGCGACCTGGTGGCTCTGCAGAGCCATTTCTCTTTCTTGCGCTGCTGCAGATCTCCAAGGGCGCGTGCATTGCATTGAAAAACCACTAAAGCGTAGGGGTGTGCAGTTGCTGGCTTCGCCACTTGCTGTGTGCTTCACCGCGATCCTGGTTCTCGGGTGCTTTTGCTGTGCTAGTTGCCGCAAAGAAGGCCTCGGCAATATAAGCCTGCGGATGGCTGGTTGTAGTGCTTGCCGCTTGCAGACAGTCCAACCTTGCAGGTTTTAGATGTATTGTGAGCATGGATGGCGGCGCAACCCCCCCATTTGCAAACAAAATGATCCGCAAAACATGGTGGTGACATGATTCTTTTGCCGTTCGCATGGATTGTCTTAAATTAAACAACAGGGGGGTTGGGGGGCAAGGGGGTCGCAGCCCCCCATTTGCAAACAACACAATCCGCACAACCTTCCCTCACTGCAAACATGGTGATGACATATTTTTTTGCGTAAGCATGGATGGTTAATTTTTCTGAAGAAAGAAAAAAAAAGGCCGAAGAAGCGAGGAAGAAGGCCAAGAAGCCACGAAGCTAGAAAGGCCACAACCAAGAAGCGAGCAACACGAAACAACCTAAAGCCGCAAAGCCAAGAAGCCGAAGAAGCCGGAAGCCAAGACGCCTGAGAAACCAAGAAGCCAGAGCGCCCAAAGCCGAGAAGCCAGAAAGCCAAGAAGCAAAAAACAAACAAAATACAAATAACAAACAGAAAATCTACTAAAAAATATTCTTCCGCTGGAAAACAGCTAAGGTGGCGGATGAGGATGAATTTAATGCACGGAACAACAACGCGCTACTCTTAGCTTTGACGTTCCCGTGGGCAGGAGGTTGTGCTGGAACTAGCACAGCAATGCATTGAGCAACTCAACGTGCAGATGCCGTTTCAAGAGTCATCTTGTGCGGTCATCATAAGAAGATATTGTCATCCCTTTGGTGCTGCACCTTGCCAGCAACTCCTACGTCCAGCTATGTCATGGTCCACCTGACTCCATCTACCCTGACTCCCTCAAACAATCTTGGAAGTCTCAACCCCGCAGCTCCAGGAGGCCACGTGGCAAAGGTCAGCTCTGCAACTAGGCGGTTGGTGTCACCCGCGAGCAGGATCTCACGAATCGCCTGGAGGGCTTGGCATTGGGGATAATCCTGCAGTGGAGTATCTTGGACCCACACCTGAAACTGCTTGACCCCGTTCTGTCCGAAGATGCGCTTGTGAATTTCGCAATCCTCTCGAGACCATGGCACAACGCCAGGTGGAAAGAAATGAGTTCAGTGCCAGCTGCGCTAATCCTAGTGCAGCGCTGCTTGGTTTCGCTGAGCGAGGGTCTACAAAGCTGTTGGGGCCAGCAAAAAGGGGTGATGAGTGTGCATCACTCAGCCATGCCGCAGAAAGCGCAATGCTCAGGCAAGCAAGGGGTCCTGCGCCAAAAACAACTCCATCCTGACTTCCAAGAGATGAGAACATGGCAAGACTCTGGCTGCTGCAAGAGATGGTGCCAGGGATGTGTGTGCCCGCTGACCGCTTTTCACCAATGCAAGCCACAGCACATCGCAGAAGCTGGCACCACATTGAAAGCGCTTGATGCCTGCACCGGAGATAACAAAAGGATACAAAAGGTCACCAACGTAACTTCTCCCGTCCACATGCTTGGTAGATCCAAACTCCAGGTACCTGCGGCTCGAATCCCGTGAGCGAGGCGCTGCGGTGGTATCCCTTGCAGCCACGCAAGTTGCTGACGTTACCCGTTACTGCATTCGCTGCTAGTGGCGGCGGTGATGACAATAGAAGCAGCGGTATAGCACTGGCAGCAGCTGCTGCTGCCGCCGCAGACGCAGTGGCAGCCGCAGTGGCAGCGGTAGCAGTACTCGTCGCAGTGGCAGCAACAACGGCAGCTAGCAGTAGTCGTCGCAGCGGCGATGGCCCGCGAGACTGTGGTGGTGTCGGAGGCTGTGGTGGTGGAGAGTGGCGGCATTATCATTTAGACTTCTCATTGCCAATTATCTGCCCTGTGAGGCCCATAGTGCTGTTTCTACATAGCATGTTGACTGTCACAGGCATGGTCTCATGCAAAAGTCCAAACATGTTACACCTACAAGGACATGAATAGGGGGGTTTAAAGGATCCCTCCCCTCCCCAAGAAATCAAGAATTCCATCCTCAGTAGGTGTGAACAGTCTGACGCGGAGACTGCCAGAAGAGGAGCTATGACTTGTATGGACACTCCAAAAGTTCTGCAACAGCCAAGCTACCACGAGGTAATCTTTGACCGCGGGCCACTCCCAAAGCGGCTTCCCGTATCTGTCGACCTCATCCTTAGAACAGCAGATTCCGATGACAGCATGACTGGCAGAGGGTATTTGCATATATGTCGCTACGGGACGCAACCAGCAAACAATCCCCCGATCGACTGCGGTTTTGAACAACCCGCAACCGCTCTTGCGGTGTAGGTGCCACTGTCTCCCAGGAGAAGATGGTCTGCCGCCGGGTCTTCCTGTCCGGCTCCTAAGTTGAGCGGGGTTGTAGGGCTTTGGTTCGCCTAGGTGTGTGCCTGTTCGAGAGGTCTTGACACCTCAACATGTAATGCTTTAGGGGAGCTTCCTTTAAACACACAGTTTCCGTCTTCCCCATTTGAGGTGGCCAGCGACTTGCTCCTTTGACATAGACCTATCTGTCATCTGTCTGAACCCATCCAAGCAAGACAGGACCGTTTGCGGGTATGGCTGCAATGGCTGCAGGATGTGGCAGGCCACAGCATCCGGATACTGCGGAGCAGGGCTCTTCGAAGCGCAGGTTGATGAAATCGGCAACTAGGTTGACCTCAGAGCGGCTCCGGCCTGCTAAGTTACTGAGCATGGGAACGCTGCAACACGCTTGCCAATCCACTGAACGTGAAGCTGGCTGGCAGCTGCTCCATCCCAAGCTTTTTGGTCAGATGCAACATCAGAAAAAAGGACCGAGTCAAGGAAGCTTTTCGGGGGAAAGCTTGCACAACGGAAGAAAGGCTAGACCCTAAGTTACCCTGCCATGCTGCCATCTCATTGATGTCGTCAATTGAATAGCGTGTCAGGCCCAGAGCATGTACAGCATCGTGCAGGGACTTGCCAGATACCAGCTTCCTCGGGCTAGGTCCAGGAGGTCTGCTGTCAACAAAGGACGTGGCTCCCTACAAACTCAGGGCTGTGAAATGGATAATGGAAAAGCAAATGGAAACTACAGGGATTGTAAGGGGTATATAGGGATTATAGGGTATATATTGGATTAATGGAAACTGCTATAGTATATTGGTCTAGTATTGGGAAAATGGAACAGAAAATCGTAGAATATTGGGATAATGGAAAAGAAAATGGAAACTACTATATTAATTTGGGGCAAAATAGTATAAATAGGGTATTCCTGGAGTCAAGGGACGTGGTGGAAAGGGCCCCTAGGCGCACGCGTAGACGGTGACGGATGGCGCGGGCCTCATCCTCGCTGAGACCCAGCAAGCCTGGCATTTCTCCAAACTTTTCCATTATCCCTATATTAC